AATATATTTCTGAAACATTTTAATAAATGTGGCGCATCAAAGAGCGCAACCACCTCCGTCCCATTTATACTGAAGAATGGGGATTCTTCAGTGGCTCCCAATAAGGTCAAAGCTCTTCTATTGACACCGTCCATGTCACATACTGTTGCAGCTATATTCAGTCCTATTTTGAGACATGCTTCAATTACCTGTAAAGTAAATAATTTTGCTTCTACATACATATTTTGTTTTAATGTATTTCAAAGTTTAATATTTTCTTAATGTAATAATACGTAAAGTTTTAAGTCAATCTAAGTATACTAAATAATATTATAAAGAAGTGTTTGTATGTTGGAATGGATGTTTGTACCGGGCAATCTCCCGAACTAATAGCCCAATTTCATTAAAACTTGGTTAGCATTAAATAAATAACCAATTTTTTATTCCCCGAAATTGGGATTTATACGGGTGGAACCACGGTAAACTGCTAGTGTCATAATATAAAGAAATAATTTCTTTAGGTACATACCTCTTTTATTATGGCTTTCAGTCTATCCGCAGTAACATAGGAGCTGGATAAATAATAGGCAATGGGCTGTTTTGTTTGTTCTCTGATTGACTTCACCATGAACACAAGCGCATGTGTAGCTACCTGGTTTGTTCGACCATGGACACCATGGTCTTGGTAGCCTTCCACCATATCTTCTTTATTATTATATTGAAGATGTTTTCTAATAGACATTTCATCAAATATCAATATATATTCATTATTTGAGGGCAGTTGTTTTTTTACCTTTTCTCTTAGGCTATTAAAGATATTATCATTGATACCCACATTTAATGAAAATAACCTCAATAAATTATTTAATGTGCTAGGTGATGGAAGGCACCACATCCTTCTTAATAATCGGTAGCACGTTGGGGACCTTTTAAATAACCTCAATGCGATTACTTTTTCGTCAAATGTCCACCTTCTGCCTTTAAATTTCTTTTTATCATTTTTCAATTGAGCCTGTAGCATCAGCGCAAAAGACGGCGTCAGCCTCTGCATTAGTTTTGCTACAGACTTATTTTTTTCTAAAATGTTGAGGGCATCTCCTTTTCTCATCTTCTGAATTGTTCTTTTTAGTTGACAAATTTTTTTCACTTGTCTTCTGCATTTGTTGTATAAATAATTTTCTCTGTCAGTTTTTTTAAAAGTTTGTTTCTGTATTTCTTTACAGACAATCATCTGAAACAAAAGCATTAACAATTAATTACTAATTTGTGCCTTTGAGTGAATGAGTGAGTGTGGAGGTACCTACTTATTATGGATAATTTTATTAATTAGATATTTTAATTGCTCTTTTTAGATATAATCTAGACCCCATTTTCTCATAGTAATCATACTCTCCTTAACTGACGGGTCTGGTTGACACTTGACATTTTGGGCTAGAGCTTGAGCGTGCAAAATATTTTATAGGTATATGTGTTGGATTAGCAGAAGCTTACGTCATATTAGCTATCTGTGGGGCAAATTTCAGCCTAAACCCCATCCATTGGTTTGAGCTGTGCGTGTTGATAGGTCAATCAGTAACATTTTCTTTCTAAATATATAATAGATATAAATGTAGAAAAGGTAGGTACTTACTTTGTGGTGCTGTGTATAAGAATTTGTAATGTTCTTAAGAACATTGCAAAAAGATGGACCTGGTTGACACTCGAGATCTTGAGCTGCAGCTTGATTCTGCAAAATAATAAGTCATTTATTTTCCAGACTAAGTGTAGCGCTAGTGCTACATATATAATCTGTTTGGTGGACTATTACAAGATATTATTATTATTATTTTTATAATACTTTGAGGTCTACATTCAAACGGCTAGTTTATATGAAACATTAAAAAGGATATTAAGTGGTTTTAAAACTATAATGAAGAATATAATAGGATTTAAAACTTTTTTAGCATTTTTATAAGGGTTTCTTTTTTCGTCTTGAGGCTAGTTGAGGCACAGAACCCTAAAAATGCTAAGAACAGTATTTTTGGCTAGTACCATAGAAGTGCACCTGCTACTTCAAAATTAGGTACATTGCGAGTAGTAGAAATTGCAACTGTACCACTTCAGTGGAATAATAGCAAAAAGTAGCCAAGGATTATTATTTAATGTTTTATTGGTAGTATACTTACTCTGTGATATTGCATTTCAGTAGTCGTAATATTCTCAACAAGGGAAGGACCTGGTTGAGACTTGAGATCTAGAGATGAACTTGATCCCAGATATTCTTGCAATGCTAGAGTTTGATCCTGAAAAATAACATTATCAATTATTATTAAGACAAAGTTAGGGACAAAAGTAAGAGTGCTACAACAATACCTAACATTTTTATTGAATTTGAATTACATAAATAAAAAAGAATGCCTACATTGAAATATATAAAATATTAGCAATCTGCCTCTGCTTCGCAAGGGCGATTTCTAGATATCGACAAAAGCACCACCTACCGGGTTCAAATGTGAACCTAAACCATCTAGAAACCCATTCAAACACAAAAAAAATTATCACAATAGGTTGAGCCGTTTTTGAGTTTTAGCAAGACCAATGGACAGCAATCAATTTGCATTGCGAGTAGTAGAAATTGCAACTGTACCACTTCAGTGGAATAATAGCAAAAAGTAGCCAAGGATTATTATTTAAATTTTTATTGGTAGTATACTTACTTTGTGATATTGCATTTCAGTAGTCGTAATATTCTCAACAAGGGAAGGACCTGGTTGAGACTTGAGATCTAGAGATGAACTTGATCCCAGATATTCTTGCAATGCTAGAGTTTGATCCTGAAAAATAACATTATCAATTATTATTTAGACAAAGTTAGGGACAAAAGTAAGAGTGCTACAACAATACCTAACATTTTTATTGAATTTGAATTACATAAATAAAAAAGAATGCCTACATTGAAAAATATAAAATATTAGCAATCTGCCTCTGCTTCACAAGGGCGATTTCTAGATATCGACAAAAGCACCACCTACCGGGTTCAAATGTGAACCCTAAACCATCTAGAGACCCATTCAAACACAAAAAAATTATCACAATAGGTTGAGCCGTTTTTGAGTTTTAGCAAGACTAATGGACAGCAATCAATTTTTATATAGGTATAGAAGATTGGATTTTTCTTGTAAGTATAAAATTTGGATTAAGTTTGTGATTCTTAGCAACCTGTTTTATATGAAATGTTTTTGTTTTTATTGAAAATAGCCTAGTAAGAAGCAGAAGAGTAACATATTATTATTAGGTGATTTACCTCAACGCACAGCACCTTATTTTCAGAATATAACCTTTCTTGAAATTGCAGAGATGACCAAGGGGAATTAGGGAAGCAATATCTCGCCCATGATTCACAGCTGAAACACAACATAGTACATTCTTACCTATGTATTTAAATTTGATTATACTATGCATTCATAGTGTAATGTCGTATTGAATATTGATATGGGTTAATGCAACTGACATTGATGCCATATTTGTTTTGCAAAAGAGAGCCGTATGGGCGATTTATAACTTAAATTGTAAAGAGTCCCTTAGAGAAAATTTTAAAGAAAACTTTGGCATCGCAATATATTTATTAAAATGTAATGTATGTATATAAAAACAAATAGCAGGATTCTATGTGTAATGTGGGGGCCGCAGTAGTTGTACAACAAAAACACTATTAATGTAGAAGTTAAAGTAACTTGATACCTAATATGTATATGAAAAGTACAAACAAACTTACCGAATAGCATTTTTAAGCCCAGGTTTAGGAAACCGAGACAGTTTAATGCCTGGCACTTGTTTGGAAGATCGCCCACATTTTGCACATTTCCTATAAATGTTGGGTGCCATAGTGAAATAGGTAAGAAGGTGGATATCTAATTAAGTTCACAATTTTACACAAACTATGAAAAGAGTCCGTATCTCACTTGAGTTTATCAACTTGTCACCAACAACACTGCTCTGGTTCGACCGACACTAATGCGGAGGAGCGAAATTCACTCAACTCAACGCAATAATGGAGAAACAGAAGTGTAATAAAGTAACAAATTAAAGGAAAAACAAAAACAACATCAATCAACAAATCGTCACAAATCGTTGAAATTTGAAGTGAATGAAAACGTGCACGCTTGTTTTTTTAATTTTTAAGTGCTGCCATTTTATAAATTAAATATTCTTCTATAAACATGGACAAGATAGCCGGTATTTTATAGGATGCATTTCGGTGAGTGTGCGCAGGAATTACACGCTTTAATTCCTTCCTCTCCTTTCCGTCATTGGACAACCAGGCGGTCGGCGGGTCTTCACCCCTTAGTTGCCGATATTCTACGCATTATTATTTGCTTCGTCTTTTGTAATGCAAAGGAGTGGAATAATTTGCCAGCGTTTATCTTTCCGTCCGAATACAATCTGGGTGCCTTCAAGGCAAGAGTGAAAAGGCTTTTGTTACGCTAAGACAGTGCGATTTACCATCTAGGGCTACATCACCACTTACCACCAGATGGGATCGTGGTGAAGCACTGGTTTATAATAAGTTAAAAAAAGATCTGTTGCTGATGCTTTAATCAAGTTTATTTACTGATCAAACGTAATCAATATTTTTCTTTATACCAGTTTGTACAACTACCAGTTTGTAAAGCGCAGTCTATAGGACGATTTTTTGGAAAACTCAGATAATTCCCAAATTAACAAAATCGAAAGAAAATCCAGAATAACAAATTAAAAAAAAGCAACATAGTATTTTAAAATCAATAGATAGATACAAAATCAATTGGTGAATACTCTCATTTTAGAGGTTTTCAAATAACTTGGCAATTTTGTGGTAGAAATCTGGTAAAACAAATGACCAAATAAATAATTTTGTTACCGCGCCATCTACGCGGTTTACTAAGTACTACATCGATCTGCGAAGCCGACGTAGTTCTTAGCGAATTTAGTCGATGACGCTACTGTTTATTAATGCCGCATAGGTCCCATACATTAGTTGACAAGGCCTGATCCGTAACAATGTATACATTTAAATTATATCTTACTTTATTTTTGTGAGACCACCCTTGAATGTAAAGCAATGTAAACAATAACTTTATATATCACAAAATCTGAATAACAAATTTTGGTCCGACCCAGAATTTGACCTCATGACCAGCAATCGCATTTACGACTTTACGACATTTACGACATTTATGACTAGACCCACCACGGTAGTCATTTATCTATATAGTTCGAAAAATTGAGAAGCAATGGGGAAGAAAGGTTCTTGAGTCACAACCTCATACCTGTAAGTGAAGTGTTGGGTGGCCCATACTAGATGGAATGTAGATCTGGTAAGAGATGCAGAAAGTCGATGGATGCAGGTGGCTAAGGACTGTACTTTTGGTGTTCCCTGGGGGTGGACTATGTTCAACGGTGGACTTGAATGGCTGACAAAATAATAATCAAAATTACTTTTTAATACTGAACTATTAACAACTATTAACAATTTAAAACAATTAACTATTTACAACTGTTAACTATTTAGAACAACAAACTATTTACAACTTAAATACACAATAACTCTTAAATATAAAATACACTAATTTATTGGTATTTTAATAGGTGTTCAAAATTGAGTCCGTTTCTCTCAATGCATAGTTGAGCACGTTTTTTTAAATTATTTTTTACATTAATTAATTGTGTCTGAGCACTTTTCACTTCCATGAATGCAGCAATTATTTTGCTACGAAGGTCTTCATCACTTTGGGCCTCTTCGACATAAACACGTCTCTTTATTTCACCCCACAAATAAAAGTGTAATGGTGTAAGGTCCTGTGACCTTGCAGGCCATGGTATAGGACCGCCACGCCCAATCCACCTACCTTCATATTCACTATTTAAATAACTGCGCACAGCATTTGAACAATGAGGCGGAGCACCATCGTGTTGGAAATAAAAATTATTCAATAACACTAGGGGTAAATCATCCAGGAAATCATAAATAACACCTTGTAACATGTCCAAATAATTATTACCTGTTAATCGTCTTTCAATAAAGTAGGGGCCCACAATTATGTTACCAATAATCCCAGCCCAAACATTAGAACTAAGTGGCACTTGATCATCATAGTCTTTTATGTCGTGTGGTTTGCATTCTGCCCAATAATGTTCGTTACGGCTATTATGAAGCCCCACACGCGTAAATAGGGCTTCTCCAGTCCACATAATGTTAGTATTGTCAATATTAGACAACAACCATTCACAAAATTTTTTTCGAGTTGGAGCATCAATATTATCCGGTGCTTGCACACGTTTGTTATGATGTGGACGATATCCAGAAGAATTCAACAGTTTCCACACGTAGTACTGGCTAACTCCGAATTCTCGAGCTGCATCATTGGTACTAGCCCGGGGGTTTCGCTCGAAAAACTCGATCACTGCGTTTTCTACATCCGCGCTTATTGATGAATGACAACCTCGAGCACTTGCATGTGACGGAGTGGTGAACTGTCCATATTCTAACAGCCTTTGGTTAACTGTTAAAATTGTATTCCGATTGGGTATACGTGCGTTAATTCCTTGTCTTTGCAAACGCGGTAAAGACTCACTTTCGTATAATCTTTGCGCACCACGTATACTTTTGCTTAAAATGTAACACCGTACCATTTCATAGTATTCGGGGTTCGAATATTTACGTTCCGTCATAGTTAACGACACAGATTACTGTATACACTTCTTCTTCTTCTTCGTTACGATGAATTATTAGCCAATGACATGTTACATGCGAAAAGGTTTAATTGGGACCCTACATATATATTTATCTGATTGGGACACAAACTCTGCTTATAAAAAGGAAATTGATAATACAAGCATCAACTTGAATTATACAAGAAATGCTAACAACAACAACGTATTTTTTTTAAACTAGCTTTACGGCTCTGGGTTCTAGCCCGTCTGAGCAACGAATATTATGTGAATGATCAAAGAGAATATAATCACTACGTTATGGTCAATTTATCCCATATCTGTTGGTTTTTTTTAAACTGGCTTAAAGGCTCTGGGTTCTAGATCTTCTGAGCCTGATCATATCTGTTTTTTTTAACTGGCTTTACGGCTCTGGGTTCTAGCCCTTCTGATCATATCTGTTGAATTACCTAAAACCAAAGAGTAACTGTCATACAGGAAAACAAAAGACAGACAATGTTGTTAGAACCAAGGAACATACTACTCTCTGATAGAACAACACTAATGTGTTATTATATGACAGACAAATTATAGTTTAATGTTGTTAGAGTTAATAAAAATTACATTAAAAGGGAGTTAAAGTCTATGGGACGCACAGATGTACCCTGACGGGAAGAACAAAAACTTCATACAATAAAAATGCCAAGAGCTTGCGACACTAGCGCGCCAGTTTTTGATCCATGAACTAATTTACGCGCCAGATGTGAATGTATGCGTGTGTATATGTATAATGCTCATTGCCCACCCTCCATTCAATATTCTATTTTTAATCATAATATTTTACTATTTCCATTCCAATTTTCTACGAATACGAATGTAGAAATTACATTCTACATTCGTAAAAAATTGGAATGGAAATAGTAATAAATGAATAACATATTGGAAATTTTAAATATTTAATATTTAAAATAATATGTAAAATAATATGTAAAATGAACTTTGAAAGTTGTTCTATTCTTAATTTTATGAATATGTAATAAATAAAATATAGGTTATGTTTTTATTTCGCAATAGCCATAGATACATTTATGTTTTCGGCTATAGAGCTTGTTGCACAGACTAGTTATTTTAATCGGACATAAAAATAATCGCAACGTAAAGAGCAATGGCAGAAAAATAGTTGACAAAAATTATAGCGTCTAGCAATAAGTTATATATAAAATGAGTTTTATTATTTTTCTATGATTTTTCAAATAAAAATGTATTTTAATTAAAGCCACAGAAAAAAACAAACATGTTTGGGAATATCAAATGACTTAAATCATTTTACTCTATTCAAATGTTGCCATTTAGTATATTTATACTATTTTCGTATACACTTTGTAAGACTACCAACACAACGCACAAAATATTTTTATATTAAGTTATTATTAGTAATAACTGTACTATCAGTAATAATAAAAATAAAAGTGATATGGCTGAGAATAAGTCTCTTACAAAGAATTTCCTACAATAATACATTATCCCAATCATAGTACTATGTAACAATTCCATTTAATGTTATGCCAATACTAGCTAAAATAAAATGTCACTGTTTTTTTTACTGGCTTTACGGCTCTGGGTTCTAGCCCTTCTAAGAATGTCACTATGATACAAAAGACCTGGAGCCGTGCCAGAAATATACATTTATAGTATGCAAATATATAATAGAGATACAATAATCTAAAAACTCTCAATTATGTATTATGTATTAAGCTAACATCAAACAACCACAGGAAGCATGACTTTTTCCAAGTGACATAGGACATAAATTAAAAAGTTCATAATTAAACAACTTTTATTTCTTATGTATATTACAAAATATATAGTTTATAATTTATAAGATAAGTAAAGATAATTTTGATGCGCAGGCGACAAAGATATTAAAAAGCAAAAATAAAAGTTCCTAAACTGTAATTGAAATATAATGCGTAACATGGTTCAATAGTGATTTCTCTGTCTTGCGTATAACGCTGTCTCTGTTTCGCTTATTTTACCCGACGTTTGTATCGGCTACATAGAGACTTGACCCCTTGGGGACGCACTGATGTACCCCGATGGATGGGACAAGGGCGAGGAATGTCAGAGGCACAGAATAATTAGTAGATCATAGATTCTACCCGAATCAGACGGACATCTCACGAACTAAACTTACTCGACTTAGCTTCTGCGTCCTCATTGGTTGTAGCAAAATGATATATCACATTTCTTTTTTTTTGAAGCAGCTATACCAGGCAAAGGACGACCCATAATAATAAAACATATTAATAATAAGGCAATGGGTCTGGCCACCCAATTTTGTTAAGGGTATCAAAAAATTACGAATTCAACGGTATTCTTATTTTTTTTTCTACCTTTAAAAATGACCGAAATATTGATGAGTAAAATGGTGTTTTACGGTAAGGGCGACCGCTTTGCTCCGCATCGCGATGTGACGTCACAAAACGACACGTCGATACCACCAGTAGTCTTTATTGTTACAATAGCTGTTACCCGCGGCTTCGCCACATGGTCACTGGGAAATGAACTATCCATTGCTTTTTGAATTGAAAGAAAGCTGAGTTTTATAAATTTGTCAGAGATGCAGCCATTAAAAGGAAACTGAGAAAAATTGATTCGTCAGCCTATTTAAATGTTTTGAAACGCAGCGTATAGGAAAGCATGAAAATAGCCTGTTTATGCTGTTGTTAGGTGCAGCATTTGGAATTGAAAAGAAACTGAGCTAAATAGGAAATTTTGAATTGAAAGGGAAGATCTGTGGGAATTCTGATTAATTGATTGTGGGAAGTTTGGCAAAAAAAAACTAACTGAACACTATTTTAAGACGCTACTGTACACAATGTTATATGTTTTTCCATTCGGGGAAAGAATGTGGAGATTCTGGGCATTTGACATACGCGAACATGCTACATACAGCTGACCATGAGAGAAGCACGGTTTTTCTAAGTTGACCCACGCTACCTGTAACGTTTGCCCTTGCGCTTTATTAATTGTCATTGCAAAACTGAGCTTAATAGGGAACTGCAACCTTTTGAATTGAAAAGGAAGATCTGTGGGAATTATAGGGATCCGTGGTATAATAACATTTTCACCTTTTTCTACGCCTGTCAAAATTGTAGTATCGATTATGTTCCGTCCATGATGTGTCACACGCAGCCTTATCCCGTTACATAACCGAGGAGCATCTAAATTTCGCATTAGCATGACTGGGACGCCTAATTTTAATTGAAGCTTATGTTAGGGCACACCTGAAGGGTTATGAAGTGCTCTGTTCCGTGTCCATAACTGTGTCTACTGACAAATACTCTGTTATTTCTCCTGCTACTTCGCTTAATATATCTGAATTTATTTTGTTAACGCTCTCATTTTTTGGTGCAAGAATCGCCCTTTCACATAACCATTTGTCTTCATGCATGTTGTTCGTTAAATCTGAATAAAAGCTCGCAATTAATTCGGAATGACTCTGTACTAAATTACAAAAATCTCTCGTCAATTTAACGCAGCCCTCAGCATCCGTTTCCAACCGCCCATCGCCAATTTTTAATAGTGTGTCAGCATAGTTTCCAGCATTGATATCATTATACAAATGCACTCTCATATTCGTAGATAAACTGAATTTTGTCACCTTGTTCCACTTGAGGCATGCTTTAATTTCATCTGCAGGTGTGCCCTTTTGAATGACAGGTAAAGTTTGGCGAAAGTCACCAGCCAGTAAAACCACCATTCCTCCCATTACATCGGTATTGCTGCGCAAATCCTGGAGCGTTCGATTTAGTGCTTCTACAGCTTTTTTTATGCGACATTGTACTTTCGTGCCACACTAAAAGTTTGCATTGTCGTAGCATTACACCTCGTGCACTATTTTTGCTAAAGTTGCAGATCGACGATTCTTCCTGGGCTAGATTTAGAGCGTGCGGCTATACCAGAGGAAGCTACGGCCACAGCAATGTTTTTATCTTTCCGTACTTGCGCTAATAATAAATTTAACAAAAATGTCTTCCCAGTTCCTCCAGGGGCATCTAAAAAGAAAAATTCACCATTTCCAGATTCAATTTGTCCTAATACTTTGTCAAAAACTCGTTTTTGTTCGGGAAGGAAGCGGGGTACAAATTCGGCTACTTGCTGCTGCAAAGCTGGTATATCGTAGTTTGTTTCACGTATAATTTCATCACTTAGTTCATTTTCGGTTGTTCGCTGAGGGCTTATCATTCGCTTAAAAGTCGCTTAATTTTTTGCCTACCATTGCCATTACTTTATCTTCAATTTTTCCAAGTGCTTCATTATAAATGTGTTCATTGTATGTCATGTTCGCATGTTTCTGCTGTAACCTTCGCAAAATATCTTCCGCCATGTACTCTTTATATTTGTCCCACAATTCATGTGCATTAGATAGCCCGCAAGATGATATGAGAGTTGCATAAAGATCTCTAATTTTAGCTGGTGACTAACACTGCACAGCTTCCTCCATGGTTTCATCCCAGTGATTATCGTTTTCTAAAAGATGCAGAGCTTCACATGCTTCTCTATAAGTTGCGGATTCCTGACCGTTGACAGTTTTAAGGTCTTTATATCCTGTAGGACCCCGAACATGGTGCAGCAGCAATCGTAGACAGAAACATTCAAAATTAGTTACATGGACGGTATACACACGACCAAGGGCATCTGATGACTTTACACCGGGCCAATTTGCAACAGGCGCGCCTTGAATACGGCGTTTCCACTCCTTTCTAGATGTGTTCCAAGTATAATAGCGGGGGACTTCAAAATATAACAACGTTTTTGCAAAGGGGTCGGTTTGACAAAGTTGAAAGAAGGCTGTTAGTGGTAGTTTTTGGCGGTGATGCAATTCTTTCTTGGAAATTTCTTTCGGTGAAATATACACGCTGTCCATTTTCTAAGTGCACAGCAAGGTGAGTAACTTTTGGGTGCCTTTCGTGTAAAGGGAAGCCAAGGAGACGCCACGCTGCCTCGTTACTGCTGACATAACGCCCTGCTTGAAAGGTCTGTACTTCATTAACGGGATTTGCCTCACCTTCACTCCTGAGATTAAATATTGCTTGGTCGCTTCCTTTATTTATGTACTTACAGATATACTTGATTGCGCGGACAGAGCTACATACTTCTACATTAATGTGGGCATTAAACATTTTACATAGAATGGGCGAATACGAGACAATC